GAAACCTGGGGTTGCAATCAGGCAGTCTGTTGACCAGTATGATTTCACTTTGTGCTTATACACATGTGGCATAAGCATTATTGTGGCAAAGAAAAGATACATCTCAGCCACAGTTGCCTCCTTCCACTGGTGTAGACGGGATTTTGGTGAAAGTATTGTGTTTGCCATGGTGTACTCGTAGTATGTGTTGCTTTCCATGACAATTCTTTCCATCGGGTTCGTCAAAGAATAATGCGAAACATTCCAGTTCAGTGGCATTGTTCCCGAGTGTACAAGAATGCCATATTCCACTTTGGCTGTCATCAAACTGGTGGGGATTTGGAACAAAATTGACAGCTTCCTGCCAATCCCAGGTGCGGTCTGCTTGTGGGTACTGGACATTGACAGGTGGTTGTGGTTGTGGAGGTTGTGGTTGTGGAGGTTGTGGTTGTGGAGGCTGGTGTGGTGGGTGGGTGGGGGATGGTGGCCTTTGTTGTAGATCAGCTGAGGCAGCAGTGTGGGTGACAGCATGGCCCACTGCTGGTGCCTCACGGCCGGCACCACCGCTACCACCACCATGCACATTTTCCATCCCAATTGCAACACTATCATCGTCATTTTTACTGTCTGTTCCTGTTGTACAGCCACGGGATGTACTCTGAGATGTACTCATTCCCCTTGGAATAGCATATGGCACACTACCAGAGCGCATAAATCATCATATATACTGACGCTTCACTGGGGAATATTGCACTTAACTATCACTACTGGAACTAGTTTCAAGAGCATGTAGTTCATATTCACTATCACTATCATCACAAATGCTCACATCTGAGTCTGGGATTTGGGAAAATAGGAGTTTCCTCTTTGATTCTGGTACAACTGAACGTGAACAAGACAGCCCAGCAGCAGAGGTGGAAGGCTGAGGGTTGTCTGGGTTTTCCTCACTATTACCAATATTATGGTAATTAGTTTCAGTCAAAACCTCACCAAAACCTTGAAACTCATCTTCACTGGCACTTCCATCTGTATTAGAACTGTCACTGGGGAACAAAAGTGTCCCAATTCGCCGAGGAGTGAGGAACTTCTTACTGTGAGGCATGGTGGACATTGTGTACTAAGATGGCATTCCCACAATGCACCACTGGGTCCCAGATTTTTTTCTACCGCGCACACCGACCACACAGACCCATTCTCTCACATCTAGGCCTACCATCCTTTTCCCGCGTGATTTGACGGCGCTAGAATTTATGCGTACTAGTACGTCAAAAACCCCTGCGCGTAAGCCGTACTAGTACGTCTGAAACCCCCAAAGGGTTAAGCCAGCAAAGGCTGGTTTGAGAGATTTAAGAAGCATACTGGCATACACAGTGTGATAATGGATGGTGAGGCTGCCAGTTCGGACCAAAAAGCGGCTGAAAAATATGTGCAGGAATTCAAGGAGTACATAGAGGCTGAAAGACTGAAACCTGAACAAGTGTTCAATTGTGACGAAACAGGCCTCTTTTGGAAGAAAATGCCAAAGAGGACCTACAGTACTCAGGAAGAAAAGGCACTGCCAGGACACAAGCCTATGAAACACAGGCTGACGCTCATGTTCTGTGCTAATGCTAGTGGGGATTTCTTCCTCCAGTCTTCCATACACTAAGAAGAATCGCCAGTAAAGGTAAGTGTTATGCTGCTAATGTTTCATTCATCATGTCCCTTTGTATTATTTATGTACTACATCTATATTTCATGTAAAAAAAATTTTTGTTTTAATACTTCTGGGTGTCAGGAACGAATTAATTGTATTTACATTATTTCTTATGGGGAAAATTTATTCAAAAATCGTCTATTTTGATAACAGTCCCACTTCCAGGAACGGATTAAGGACGATAATTGAGGGACCACTGTATAAACAAAATACTGTATAGTTTAAACCTTTCAGGGTTCAGAGGCCAAATTTCAAAGTGCACACCAGGTTCCAAGAATTTTCAAAAAAAAATTTTGTTATTTTTTCTAATGAAATGGTAGAGAATTTTTTTCCAAAGGTAATAAAACAAAAAGTACGAAATTTGATGGAAAATTGACGAAATTATGCTCTCGCGAATTTTGATGTGTCAGCGATATTTACGAATCAGCGATTTTTGCCAACTTTGACTCCCATTTTAGGCCAATTGCATTATTCCAGTCGACCAAATTCTTAGCTATTTCACTAGTATTACTTCTATTCTATCGATTGAGCACAAGAAATCGCAAAGTCAACTGTTTCAACTACAAAATAAAGTGATCGGAAATTGGTAATTTGGCCAATTTAACTCAATTCAAAATATTCAAATTTCGAAATAGGGTCCAGAATAAACAATGTAGGTATTCCTGGCACTAAACTAACATTTCCTCTGTTCATTAGTTACATTTTGAGGCTTTTACAAATGAATTTCATTTTGATTTTTTATTCACATAATGAATTTTTATTTAAACCAAAAAAATAGAAGATTTACTGTTATGAAATATTGTAATAATTGTATAAATATCATCACCACATTTGTGAATGTATATTAGACCCACCAGCTGGTATGTATTAGACGTGTGAGGTCGTTTGTTTACTCTTGAACATCGGCAAAAATTTAATATTTCCGCTACTTTGAGCTCAGTTCCAAGCCATTTCCAGTGCTAAAACCAATCAAAATCATCTCTGTTTCTGTAACATGTCTTCCATTCTATCAAATGAAACTAGGAAATCACAAATACAACTATAAAAACATATGAAAAAACACTGCAAAGTCGCTGTTTTAATCGAAAATCACAGTCTCAGTTTTTTTCTCTCATTATACACTGTGTGCTGCAGGATTTGTTTTATGTGGTGCACACATACCACATAGATGTATTCTCTCATATCTAGGCCCAAATTTACTACTCACAGCTTATCAGAGTGAGCTGAGCTCATGGCGTAGATCTACGGTTTGGACCCTCAACGTAAAGCTGTAGATCTACAGCACGAACCCTGAAAGGGTTAATGAAAGCAAGTTTGTTCATTATCACACTCCAGACCATATTTGTAGTTTGTTCCATGTCACAGGCGATAAGTCATATCAAATTCTAACTAAAGGGGAAAAATACCTGCAATTTAGGTCAAAAAAAATGGGTTGCTAAGTACTTATCTTTATGCCATTGAGTAATTGGGAGTGCACTCTTACTTGTTAGTAAATGTATGAGTGAAGGTGTTTAGTATTTTTATGAAGTAATTTGTATGCTGATAAAGATAAATTATACTATAATTCAAGTCAAATATCAGTAGGCTGCAACAATAAGAGACTAAATTATCATCAAATTGACACATTAAAAAAATAATTTTTAAATAGTATTTTATTGCACCAATACAGTATTTTTTAAAGAAATGACAGCTACAAAATATATCAAAAGTTCATTGGAACATTGCTGATGCAGGTAAAAGTAGTTTAAATTTAAGTGTGTTTTTTAACTAAATCTTTTTATGTAGATTTACATAATACTGTTTATGGAGTTGCCATTTGTATTCACAGTATCATTAGTTCTTTTACTGTAGTCTTTGGTTGCATTATTTTAGCTTTTACTTCTGTGTTTGTATCTTTGAGTGCTTTTGTATCTTGTTTTTCACATTAGGTGTAGAATTTAGTTTTCTGCTTTGATATAATTCTAAAGAATTTGTAGATATGTGTGATATTTTAAATAAAATTGCTTTGCTGAGTATACCTGGAGTGACAGTAGCTGATTCATACTTTTTCTAAAAATGCATTATTCCAATAAGTTAAGATGCTTTCTTTAATATTACATATTTTTAAAAATTTAGGATAGCTTTAACATTTGTTTGACAAAAGCTATTTCTGTGATGAAATACATACACAAAACCACACTATATACATACATATGCACACCCTTGACATATATATATACAGTGGACCCCCACTTAACGATCACCTCTCAATGCGACCAGTTATGTAAGTGTATTTATATAAGTGCGTTTGTACGTGTATGTTTGGGGGTCTGAAATGGACTAATCTACTTCACAATATTCCTTATGGGAACAAATTCGGTCAGTAGTGGCACCTGAGCATACTTCTGGAATGAAAAAATATCGTTAACCGGGGGTCCACTGTATACTGGTCAAATAAACCAAATTACCCTAAAAGTAAGTCTTTTTGGAAATGTTTTCTTATGCATTAATAGATATATTTTTGTGAATTAACATGGCACAACATAAACAAAAAAATTTGTTTTGCACCAAAACTAGCTTCTCTACCTAATAAAATGAATTCAGTATAATTTAGCTTGTTCCTATGCAGTCTGATTTTGGCTTAACTTTAGTTAGTATGGCCTAATATTAATTTAGTGATGTTCAGACTGTTACTTGACAAGTTTTTGCAACAGTCAATTTACACTGCTTGTTTGGGAACAGGATCATTGCTTTATAAACAAAGATTGCATGCTCTGCCATCAAAGCACACTATATTTGTACCTCATATATACAAACTGATCTTTCACAGTATTATATATAACATGAGTAAAATGAAATGGTAGGGGGCTTGAACCTGTGCTCCAAGTTAGCATCAAGATCTCTGTAAAATGTGAGTTCAAGCACCAGTCTGGGGCTTCACACTCGATTATCCTTGGTCTTGTGGTAGTGTATGCTCTTGGTAAATGCCAGGCTACAGGTTTGAGCCCTTATCACTTCATTTCGTGAATTTATATAAATACATACATTGCATAATATATGTATCTATACATCATGTACTTATATACAGCTTAGCATTTACTAAATATGATGATAACTATTTTTCAGTCTTGCTAGAAAATTATTAAAACACTTTTCTGTTTGTTTACTATGTATTAGAATTAATGATTTTAGTTAAGCTAAAGTATAGTCAGTTCACTAGGTTTAACTATTTAAACTATAAAATATTTAATTTGGAATACAGTATAGTAATTTGTAATAAATTTTGAATTACAAACCAAATATTTCAGTATTTTAATTAATGACTGTAATCTCTAAAAATCTGCAGGTTGCACAGTACATCGGTGAGATCTGCCGTTACCTCTATAACATGCCGGAAAAGTCCGAAGATAAAGGTCATCAGGTAAATTAGGCTTCCTTGTGTTAAGGAAATTTATTAATATGATGATGTTCTTTAAGTATAAGTGTTAGGGTTGCTGTCAAAAAAATTAACAAGACATTTTGCTCTTATTTACTTATATATATAGTTATTTTGATAGTGTGGTGTTCATTGTGCAGCTTCATGTGGAGTGTTAATGACTTTAATGTTTGCTCTCTTCCCTCAGCTAATGTTATTTTTATTTCAGTGTAATTGCTGTGTCCAGCTCAAATTTACCAGAAAATAATGTTGCATCTTTCTATATCATGAGTAGCTTTTCCTTCACTCAGGGTGGTGACAAATAGAAACCTTTTCTTATACAGGAAAATTAAGCACACTCCCATTAAGAATGAATAACACAAAAATAGCACATAAAACATTCATTATGAAATGGATGCACTTAAAAAATATTATTATGGATGGTATAAACTGTAATTAGCATGAGACTTGAACTCATACAGGATGTAAATGGAGCAGCTAGTTCTTAGTTGGAAGACATTGACAAACATGCATGTTTGTAATTGGAGCAGTGTTAGTGATACATATTTGCCAGACCTGATGCCACCAATAAACCTGCCTCGGGTGTGAATGTGTCTGTCTAAGCAACTAGGAAGTGTTTTTAAAAAAGGTCTATGAATGCATACTTAGCATTTAATCAAAGCTATCTATGAGTGAGAGATTTAAATTAGTAAAAATATATTACCAAACTAATTTTTACAAGTACAGAGGACCCTTAAATTTCATCATCCCTTTTCTGTATGTAAAACTAAAGCTATTCTATATAAAATGTATTTTTTTTTTAAGATTTCCCATAAGAAATAATGTAAATCCAGTTAATCCATTCCAGACTCCCAAAAATATTAACAAAAAATACATTTTATAGAGAATAACTATAGTTTTACAGAAAAGGGATGATGAAATTCGAGGGTCTACTGTATAAAGAAATAATTGATTATCATTTTTTACTGTTAACATAATTACATATTCTGAAGTACCACTCACACTACAGATGACATGGTGGCATGCTATTTATTTTTATGCCTCACATGTATTTAATTTTCAATCTTTATTATCCCCACTTCTCACACTGCAGCCTTTACCTTATCACCTTATGTCTTCCATGTAAACTTGCAAAAGCTTCTATTACTCTTGAAACAAATACATAAATAAAAATTATTTTCTGTATACAAATTTTTTTTTAATCACTTTGGTGGTAACTGATTCAACCTTAATTTTTTTAGTCAAACCAACAATTTAAAGTATTAGTTTTCTTAACATTTAGTCTTGCATTATTTCAACCCTTTGTTTTTGTTTGAAGCGTACTGCAATCACTTGTTTGCGTAGAAAGTGGTAAAGTATTCTTAAATGGTTTTTTCATGTGCACATCATATAAAATGGCCAGAAGTACAAAGGAAAAATACCTCGAGTTTTGTGTATAACTTAAACTCTTTGACTGTTAATTGGTTGTATTATAGTTAGTCTGTCATGCCACCGTTTTTGGACGTATATTATGATAGTATTTGAAGTTTACTAGCGGACTTCAAATCAAGCAGGAGAAAGTTGGTTGCCCACATGTAAAGTAAAATGGTGTCTTGTGGTCATAATGTGCACATATACAATAATCCTGCAGCACTGAATAGTGACATATTATGAGAAAAAAAAACTCACTTTTTATTTCATAGTTGAATAAAAATGTGCCATCTTTGTGGTCATTTGTATAGTATTTATGGTTTGTATCTCATTTCTTGGTCTATTTGATAGAATGTAAAAAATATTATAGAAATAGAGGTGATTTTGATTGGTTTTACTATGAAATAGAACCTTGGAATGGAGCTTCAATAGTAGGGAATGTTTATTTTTGCCACATGTTCACAAAGTATAATCAAATGATGTCATTGTCCATAAATGTCCTACAATACCAATTCCTAATATGCATGTCTTATAATGGTTGACGTTATTATATACCATTTCGTACACATTGCAGTAGTCTGCATAACAGTAAATTTTCTATTTTTTGTTTGAATTAAAATTTGAAATAAAAAGCAAGAGTAATATCAGAGGGACCTGGAGACATGACTGATGAACAATGAAAATGTTATTTTAGAGCCAGGAATGTCTGCATTGTTCATTCTGGCCCCATTTTGAAATTGTCATACTTTTTAATTTTCGTGAAATTGGCCAAATTGCAAATTTCTGACCAAGTTATTGGGTAGTTGAAATCGGTAAGTTTCTTGTACTCAGTCGATAGGAAAAATGGAGTTCTAAAGAAATAGCTATGAGGTTGGTCGACTGGAACAATGGAATTAGCCGAAAATAGGGCTCAAAGTGGGCGAAATCACCAATTCGTAAATATCGCCGAGGTCGCTAACTTCGCGAGAGCATAATTCCATCAGTTTTCCATCAAATTACGTTTTTTTTGGGTGTCATTACAATCGGGAAAAGATTCTCTATCATTTCATAAAAAAAAAAAATTTTTTTTTTTTAAATTTTGCGACACCAGGAGACACCTCAGGATCTGGGGTTGCGACAGTCAAGGGGTTAAAAAAAAAGGTCTTAAAATTTTGCTGCAATTAGAATAGTATGAAATTTCAGTTTGTAGCGACAAGATTCTAGGGTTGCATGAATAAGTGTTACCAGGTACCTCAGTTAGCCTCATGAGTTCTGTAAAATGTGATTCGAGGCAACAGTTGAATCTATCACAGTCTTAGAATTTCATAAGAGTTTTGACTTTAATTTTGTGTTAGTTGTGCAGGAGTAATGCAGCCTCCTTGTACCTATACATCTGGATAGCTTGCTGTCTGTACAGTTCCACCCTCCTTACAGAGCTTCATTTTCATAATGTATTAACTTATCTTCACACAGGGTTGAAAGGCTCACAACTCCTTGAATAATACTGCAATTTGTTATTTAAGAGTTAATGACTAGCTGTTCTACAACTTAATTATTGTGTCACCTTACAATAAGAGCAGGAAAGGTAGCATGATATAGATGGATACAATATTTAGATATGTACAAAATATTAATACAACCATGTTTTATTGTTTCTAGACCTGTAAATTTGCACCAACTTTATTCTTTGATAGCAGTTGACAAATGTGACCTAAGCAAAATACAGACTGTGGAGAAAGATGAATTTGTCTTGATCAACTAAGGGGGTTCGGGATGGTTTTCAAAAAACAACAACAACAAAAAAAACAGAGCAGTATTTTCAGGACCTTGAGAATATCTCACTGCATTATTGAAAAATGAATTTTTAAAAAAAGAAAATGACTTGCCATAAATGTTTGCAAGTGTCAAATGGCTTCAGTACACTAGATGAAATTTTGATCTTGAATGAAAACAGTGTCTCAAGTTTTCTTCTCTGATATGTAGGTTATTTGTGAATCTTTCTGGAGCTGTACTTGGGATTGTTCACAAGTTTTATTTAAAGCAAAAATTTATGTTAGTTTGGAAAATACCTGTTGACCATTTTGAACATTTTTGAAAAAAAAAAAAAAAAAAAAGAATTCAAATTCCAAAATTTGTTTTGACCAAAATGAAATTTTATATACGATAACCTAATAGCATTGATATTTCAAGGAAACTTTGAGAAAATGCTTTGCATCTTGAATAAATAAGATACAAAAATAATTCTTTACTGTATTTCCAGTACTATCACTGATCTTTCATTTTTCTTTTTGGGCCACTCTGCCTCAGTGGGATATGGCCAGTTTGTTGATAGGAAAAAGAAGATTTATGATAATAACATTGATATACCATAGAAATTTTTATCTAATTAGTTTGGTAAATTTGTACTGTAGTTAATATTTGATAACTAAAAAATCTGAAGATTTCTAAAATACAGTAGACCCTTGATTAAAATGTGGTTGAACAGTGTGTTTTTGTGATGACAGTTGCTGAAAAATTGCAGCATCAGTTTCAGACATTAAAACTTTTCATAAGAAACTAGTAACCCTTTCTCCTGTATATATTACTGAAGTTAAAAAGAGAAGCTTTCATTTTTCTTTTTGGGCCACTCTGCCTCAGTGGGATATGGCTGGTTTGTTGAAAGATAAAGAAGAAAACTTTTCTATTCAGAGATTTATGTCCTGTGGAAAGCCAGTTGCTAAGTCTGGCCCAGTATGGCATGTGCTGTAGTGGCTCTCAACCTAAACAAGACTGACCCACAGTCATCAGCTGATAAAACAAATGGATGACTCTCTGCTGTTTACTGCTCAGTAGTCACATAACTAGTGCTTATCAACAAGCAGGAGAACAAGGAATTTAAGGTAGAATTCAGGGAAACTGGTTAACCAAACTTGAGTCCTGGAAATGGGAAGTACAATGCCTGCACTTCAGAGGAGGGGTTTGGGATACGTATTGGCAGTTTGGAGGGACTTCTAAATTGTCATATCTGAGCGCCTCTGCAGAGACAGTGATTATGTATGAGTGGGTTAAAAGTGTTGAATGATGATGAAAGTATTTTCTTTTTGGGGAGTTTCTTTGTTTTTGGGTCACCCTGCCTCGGTGGGAGACGACTGACATGTTGAAAAAAAAAATTCCCTCATACTATGTATTATAAATGAGAAAATTGCATAGTGAAATATATGTGTAGCATCAGCTAATTAAACAGATGACCAGCAGAAGTCTACTGCTCACTTGAGCTACATAACCATTCTCAAACAATTCTTCATCTACAGGCAAGAAAAAGAAAGAATTTAAGGTAGGGTAAAATTTATTCTTTCCATTTCTTTGCATATTTTACACTGATAAGATTGTGTATTATTCTTCCTCCGTAAGCCACACGTCGTAAGAGGCGACTACAATGCTGGGAGTAAGGGGCTAGTAACCCCTTCTCTCCTATATATTACTAAATTTAAAAGGAGAAGCTTTTGTTTTTCCTTTTGGGTCACCCTGCCTTGGTGGGATACGGTCGGTTTTTTGAAAGAAGAAGATTGTATATTAAACTATTAATAGTCACTGGTGGCATATTAGCTGGGAAAACCATGCCCATTTTTTTTAAGAACTAGACAGTATAATGCATTAAGTGCCAGCTTCTCCTATGCCTTAATGAATTTATTTGGTAATTTCTTATTTATGATTTGAGTACATAACTTGTATTTTGAGTTCATCAGTCAACCCAATCTACAGTATAAGGTGTCAAAAACTTCATTATTTTTTACGAAATAAGGAACTCAAAAAAGTTTGGCTTTTGACGATGTCAAGCATGTACCCTTATTTTTCTAAGTGTTCTTCAGTTTGCTGAACATAATTTTGTGTAACATGGCATTTTCAGGAAGGGAATTACATTGTTATTCAAGGGTCTACTGTACATACCATAACTGTTTTGAAACACCTTTTTGGATCAACTTTGATTAATTATTGATCAATTTTCATTAATAGTTCTACAAAACATGTAATAGATTTTTAGATTTTGCAGCATATAATCAAAAATTATTTAGAAGCCATTGAAACAAATGTACCTCAAACTCATTGCAACTCATTAAATTACTTAGTGTGGTGGTTAGTTGTGTTGTGGTTATGCTGGTCATATGCATATATTATTTCTGCTAAAGTACACTTTCAGGAATCTATACCAGTCTGTCATGTTTTTGATCCAGTTATTTAATTTGTGTAGACTCTTCTGTAACTGTTCCATAGTTCAACATTTTTGTTCTAGCTGCTATAAAATTGAAATAGCCTGTGGAACACATCAGGATTTTGATGCTAGAGAATGCTTTTGTAGTATACAAATTTATATAGTTTAGTATTTTCTTAGAGAATGTGGAGCTGCTTATAATAAACAAATGTTACATTACTTTAAGAATGTCAGTATGTTGACTTAGAACAAAGTTGGTGTAGTTTCTTTTAATTTGTTTGTACTTTGGAATGATGATATCCCATTTTCCTTACCCTTTTAATGTTTACCTTTTCCTAGATCCGCTTAATGTTTGGTAATGGGCTGCGGCCTAACCTCTGGAAAGACTTCCAGACAAGGTTTAATATCCCCAGGATTAGTGAGTTCTACGGCTCAACTGAAGGGAATGCTAATATTAGTAAGTCTTTTCAATTAGCTTTTGTGCAAGTTTGCAGTTACTTATTTCCAGCAATATTCTTGGGGGTTATCAAATGCACTTTTGATGCTGTAGCTATTTTTATTACATATTTGAATCTAGGATGATAGTTCCTATAAATGAGTATTGTACCACAACTGAGCATGTAGATTACAAGTAAATAAAATGGATGTAATGAGATGGGGTTTGGTATTTGGATAGATTGTAAAGTTAGAAAATTACACTACAGTATTGTTCACAGTGTAGAAATGAAGTGGCACAGTCACATAGAAAAAGGTGTTGGGAGACTAGGAAAAAGTCTAGTATAAGAAATGAGAGCTGTTAAGAGTGGTAAATTTATTTATAGTAGACAGAAATTTCTCAGACAGAGAATATCTGGAGATATCATAAGATTCCTTATCTGGAATCCAGAGGTATCATAAGATTCCTTAATTAAGATTTTTGCATCCATGGGATGAATATTATGCAGAGGATTTGAAACATAAAAATTAGAAGATGGTGTGGAATTACCAAAAGTTTAACTCAGAACTGTGCCTGCACTCTGAAGGGAGAGGTTGAGGCAGAGTAGAAGGAAAAAGAGGTAACCAGGTGAGCACATAAAGATAATAAAAGAATATGAAAGAATAAATAAGAATGATTTCTTAACATTGTCAACATGGAGAGCAAGAGTTATCATTACTTCTCCTGCAATACTGAATATCATTAATTATTTTGATTAATATTTTTATTCTTGGGAGCAAGGAGCTAGTAACCCTTCTCCTGTATAAATTACTAAATTTAAAAAGAGAAACTTTTGTTTTTCTTTTTGGGCCACCCTGCCTCGGTGGGATACGGCCGGTGTGTTGAAAGAAAGAAAGATATTTATTCTTGTAGTTCATATGTAGAGGTGTTTTTATGATTATGTACAGTTAATATGACAAAAGCATTTGAATCTTCTGTTAATAAATTATAAAATGTTTGAAGGAAAATTTTTACTTTTATCTTACAGTCAATATGGATGGCAAAATTGGAGCAGTTGGCTTTGTATCTGTGCTGTTTCCTAGTGTGTACCCCGTGGCTCTCATTAAAGTTGATGAGGAAACTAAAGAAATTGTCCGGGATGCTAATGGAATGTGCATTATGTGCAAGCCAGGTAAATTATAGCTTAAGTCTTAGGGACTATATCATCTACAATATTTTCTATAGCATTTTTGTTCACAATTTTGGTGTTTATATTTTCACATGGAAAGTAACGCGCATTTCTTTAGAAAACAAAAATGGATATCACACATGCATGGATGTTGTGGTTCAGTGTCTTACTTGAAGTGTGATGTTCATGCTTGTCTAGAAAGACAGATATAAAATGTATGATAGTTATCCTTCCTTGGTGGGAAATGGCCAAAGTGTTAAAAAAAATTCATAGAGATATAATACACCTACCATCCGACTTACGACCGAGTTCGGTTCTGAGAAACCGGTCTTAAGTCGAACTTTACTACTGAATATCAACAAAACATTTTTTGTAATGACTTTATTTTATTGTTTTATTTTGGTATTTCATGTTTTACTTTACTTTTTATGCTGTTAGTACTGTATTTTATACTGTAAGGTTTAGGATAAACACTGTGTACAACACAAATAGTTGTTTATTTCCCAGAAATTTGGCATAAAAAACACGGTCGTAAGTCGAGTGATCGTAAGTCGAGCAGGTCGTAAGTCGGATGGTAGGTGTACTAGCATTTAATATATAAAATAATTTACAGTACCACAACAATTGCTTTGTTGTGGTACTGTACAATAGGTATTTTCTTATTTGCTATATTGTTTATTGCAGAGTGTTGATACTGTATTTTTAGATTATTGTATAAGTAAAGCTACATTAAGAATTTTATTTGTGAATATTGTTAGTTTTATTTATTTCATCATCTGTTAATTTTATTTTTATGTATACAATAGGTCCACCACTTAGTGTTAATGTATTTCTGAAAGTTGTTTGCAAGTTGTGGCTCGAAACTTAGAACCTATCTTGACTCACGAAATCGTAATGACACGATTGCAAACAAACCATACCATGGGCAGGATTGAACCCGCGATCAGAGTCTCAAAACTCCAGACTGTCGCGTTAGCCACTGGACCAGCTAGCCACAATAAGATTCGTCCAACTATGTATATTTCTACACCATAGGAAGGTTAGCATAGGCACCACTTTGACCACAAATGCAAGTTTTTACAGACGAATCTCCAGCTAGCGTGGCCGTGACGAACTCTAGCTTAAGTCCCCTCAATGCCGTCAACATGACTCACGAAATCGTAATGACGTGATTGCAAACAAACCATACCACACCTATACCTAGTTGGATGAATCTTATTGTGGCTAGCTGGTCCAGTGGCTAACGCGATGGTCTGGAGTTTTGAGACTCTGACCGCGGGTTCAATCCCACCCATGGTATGGTTTGTTTGCAATCGTGTCATTACGATTTCATGAGTCATGTTTACGGCATCAAGGGGACTTGAGCTAGAGTTCGTCATGGCCACGCTAGCTGGAGATTCGTCTGTAAAAACTTGCATTTGTGGTCACAGTGGTGCCTATGCTAACCTTCCTATGGTGTAGAAATATACCTAGTTGGACGAATCTTATTGTGGCTAGCTGGTCCAGTGGCTAACGTGACGGTCTGGAGTTTTGAGACTCTATGACCGCGGGTTCAGTCCCGCCCGTGGTATGGTTTAGAACCTATCTAACACAGACATCAGTATTATAATAGAAAATGCATTCCTGAACTGTAATGTTTTGTTTTTAATTTCATTCATTCAGTGAAGTTAAAAAAATATGTTCATTGTACTTCTTACTACAAAATGAGTTGGGTTTGAACCCGTGGTAAGCCAATCCTTAAACTGGCAGGTCAGTGCATTTTTCCACTGTACCATGCCAGCCTGACGAGATTCACCCAGCTAGGTATATTTCTATGCATACCAAAATACACCTACAGTTGTGTTATGATTGGGAGTTGGAACATGGTGCTTGGAAGAGCCCTTCTCTCTTCCCTCTTCTTTTCCTTCCTCCCATTTCCCCCCCCTTTTCATATTTTTTTACCTCCCTCCCTCCTTATATTTGACACGCTTTACACTTGTTCTCTAAACCCCATCCTACTGTATTCTAGCCCCACATACTCTACCCCTAACTGTACTCAACTAAAATATTATACATCGCTTCTGTACTGCGCTACCCACACTGTACTCCTTCCCCACAATGTAGTTTGACCCACACCTCCCCCATGCTGTTTTCCACCTCATGCTATTCACTCCACCCCTTCCCATGACATTCACTTGTGGGGAGGGAAGGTGGTGGTGTAAACAGTTGCCACTTCACTCACATACTGTGAATAAACAACTTTCTAAAGAAGAAACCTATTTTTTGTATTTACATTTCTTTACCAATTTTTACTAAACTAATGTGAGCCCAATGCCTATGAGTAACAATGAACATACAGTACACAAAATATCAATGCTTATGGTGAAACAATAACAGAAAAAAGTTATGCAAAAATGCATTTTCAGCTTAACAAAATTTTTACCAGTATTATTGAATCTACAGTTATTTGCAGATATCTACCAACAGAATACAGATTCTTCACACTTTTATAAAATGAATATACTGTACATGTGTAAAGGTAGAAAGTTGAAAGTGAACATAGATAAGAGTAAGGTAATGAGGGTATAAAATGATTTAGATAAAGAAAAATTGGATATCACATTGGAGAGAGGGAGTATGGAAGAAATGAATGTTTTCAGATATTTGGGAATTTATGCGTCAGCGGATGGGTTGATGAAGGATGAGGTTAACCATAGAATTGATGAAGGAAAAAAGGTGAGTGGAGCATTGAGGTATATGTGGAGATAAAAAACGTTAACTATGGAGGCAATGGGGTTGTAAATGCTGCAGCGAGGAGGCGGTTGGAGGCAGTGGAGATGTCTTGTCTAAGGGCAAAATGTGGTGTAAATGTTATGCAGAAAATTCGGAGTGTGGAAATTAGGAGAAGGTGTGGAGTTAATAAAAGTATTAGTCAGAAGGATGAGGAGGGGTTGTTGAGGTGGTTTGGTCATTTAGAGAGAATGGATCAAAGTAGAATGACATGGAGAGCATATAAATCTGTAGGGAAGGGAAGGCAGGGTAGAGGTCATCCTCGAAAAGGTTGGAGGAAGGGGTAAAGGAGGTTTTGTGGGCGAGGGGCTTGGACTTCCAACAAGCTTGCGTGAGCGTGTTAGATAGAAGTGAATGGAGCCAAATTTTTTTGGAACCTGACAAGCTGTTTGAGTGTGAGCAGGGTAATATTTAGTGAAAGGATTCAGAGAAACCGATTATTTTTATATAGCCAGGCTTGAGTACTGGAAATGGAAAGTACAATGCCTGCACTTTGAAGGAGGGGTTTGGGATATTGGCAGTTTGGAGAGATGTGTTATATATATTTATATATGCTTCTGAACTGTTGTATCTGGGCACCTCTGCAAAAAACAGTGAGTATGTATGAGTGAGGTGAAAGTGTTGAATGATAATGAAAGTATTTTCTTTTTGGGGATTTTCTTTCTTTTTTGGGTCACCCTGCCTCAGTGGGAGACAGCTGACCTGTTGAAAAAAAAATATAATTCCATTTGGTGAAAAAATAGCCAAGAACATCCTGTTTATTGGAATTAGTTTGAATTTTTGCAGTAATCTTTCCTACAGATCAGCATTCATAAGTTATTAATTAGTTCTCAAGGACCAGTGTTATAAGTACAGAACATTGCTGGTTGAATCACCTTAATAGGGTACCTATTGTATTTTTTTTTTGTTTTATTTTTACTGCATATCTGGAGATTTTATTTGTGAGCATTTTAGTTATTTTTTTTTAATTTCTCTTATAAATTTTTTATGTGAATATTTTTTATATTTGATGTATTTTCCCATCTCTATTATTCTGTAAGATGTTTGTAACTTTTGATATGGTTCATTGTATAGGTGAACCTGGTGAGTTCATTGGCAAGATAGTACGGGATGATCCTGTCCGAGACTTCCATGGTTATGCTGATGACAGTGCAACAAAGAAAAAGATTGTGAGGGATGTCTTCAAGAAGGGAGATTATGCCTTTCTCTCAGGTGAGTTAACCCTTTGAGGGTCGACAGGACCTCTCCGAGACTCGTTCTTAGGGTCGGCCAAATTTAAAAAAAAATAATAATTTTTTCTTATGAAAAGATAGAGAATCTTTTCCCGATCATAATGACACTAAAAATATGAAATTTGAAGGAAAACTTATGGAATTATGCTCTCGCGAAGTTAGCGGTCTCGGCGATGTTTACGGATCGGCGATTTTGCCCACTTTGAGCCCCATTTTCGGCCAGTTCCACTGTACTAGTCGACAAAAAACATGAATATTTCGCTAGAACTCCATTTTTCTATTGAATGAGTGCAAGAAACCACCCATTTACCAATTTCAGCTATCCAGTACAGTGGTCAGAATTTAGCAATTTTGCCAATTTCACACAAATTTCAAAAGATGCCAATTTCCGAATAGGGTCCAGAACAAACAAGAAATACATTCCTGGCACTAAAATGACATTTCCTCTGTTCATTAGTCACGTCTCAAGGCCCCTCTTACATTCTTTTGCTTTCCACTTTGAATTTTTATTCTCGCAAAAAATAGAAGATTTACTGTTATGCAGACTACTGCATTAGTGTAAAAAATGGTATGAATCATATTGGCGCACTTGCAAAAGAATATTAGACTCGCCAGTTGACGTGTATTGGACGCTTGGCATGATTTGTTTATTTTTGAACTTTGGTAAAAATTGAACATTTCTGCTACTTTGAGCTCAATTTCAAGGTACTTTTTCTTTGTAAAACCAGTCAAAATCATCTCAATTTCTATGATATGCCTTCCATTCTATAAAATGAGACCAAGAAAACTAGAATACAACAATAAATACCATACGAAAATACAGTGCAAAGTCGCTGTTTTATTCCAAAAAAAACGTCAAAGTTTTTTTTTTTCTCATTATGCACTGTGTGCTGCAGGATTTTTTTTATACCATGCACACTGACCACATAGACCCATTCTTTCATATGGAGGCCTACCAGCTTTCTCCCACTAGATTTGAGGGCGCTAGAATTTAGGCATACTAGTACGTCAAAAACCCTGGGTCGTAAGCCGTACTAGTACGTCCGAAACCCTCAAAGGGTTAAAGTGGTTATGTAAGTCATGGTAAACAGTGATGGCTAGTCATTGTGTTAATAATATTAAGTATCCCGAATTGTTCACACCATTAGACTTGGAGAAGTCTGTCTCTTCATGTTCATGAAAGTCAAGAGATATTTCAGGCAAGAAGAATACCATTTGTACTCTCGTCTTTGATTTTGCCATTTCTACAAACTTTGTAGCACCCTTGCTTTTGTCTAATTTATACTTTCTTTCAACACACCGGCCGTATCCCACCGAGGCGGGGTGGCCCAAAAGGAAAAACAAAAGTTTCTCCTTGTACATTTAGTAATATATACAGGAGAAGGGGTTACTAACCCCTTGCTCCTGGCATTTTAGTTGCCTCTTACAACACGCATGGCTTACGGAGGAAGAATTCTGTTCCACTTCCCCATGGAGATAAGAGGAAATAAACAAGAACAAGAACTAGAAAGAAAATAGGAGGAAACCCAGAGGGGTGTATATATATATGCTTGTACATGCATGTGTAGTGTGACCTAAGTGTGAGTAGAAGTAGCAAGACATACCTGAAACCTTGCATGTTTATGAGACAGGAAAATGGACACCAGCAATCCTACCATCATGTAAAACAATTACAGGCTTACATTTTATACTCACTTGGCAGGACGGTAGTACCTCCCTGGGCGGTTGCTGTGTACCAACCTACTACCTAGATCTAATTTATACATTACTAGATAAATTGCAGTAGCATTACAATATCATAATTCTTATACAGTACATTATGGAAGGCAGACTAACATATGAATGAAATTGATATTATTTTATGATACTTTATAAACACCATAATCACATAGAAGAATGACTGAATGTAGCATACATGTATAGAAATCTGTGTAAGTAGCAAATGGCAGAATTTGGAATAACTTGGTGTAGAAGCTGGTACTTATTAAGGAAATATATATAAAATAATTTTAATATAATATTTTTTTTTTTTTTTTTTTTTTTTTTTTTTTTTTTTTTTTTTTTTTTATTATCACACCGGCCGATTCCCACCAAGGCAGGGTGGCCGAAAAAGAAAAACTTTCACCATCATTCACTCCATCACTGTCTTGCCAGAAGGGTGCTTACACTACATTTTTTAAACTGCAACATTAACACCCCCTTCAGAGTGCAGGCACTGTACTTCCCATCTCCAGGACTAAAGTCCGGCCTGCCGTTTCCCTGAATCCCTTCATAAATTTTTACTTTGCTCACACTCCAACAGCACGTCACGTATTAAAAACCATTTGTCTCCATTCACTCCTATCAAACACGCTAAACATGCCTGCTGGAAGTCCAAGCCCCTCGCACACAAAACCTCCTTTACCCCCCTCCCTCCACCCTTCCTAGGCCGACCCCTACCCCGCCTTCCTTCCACTACAGACTGATACACTCTTGAAGTCTTTCTGTTTCGCTCCATTCTCTCTACATGTCCGAACCACCTCAAAAACCCTTCCTCAGCCCTCGGACAACAGTTTTGGTAATCCCCCTCCTCCAACTTCCAAACTACGAATTCTCTGCATTATATTCACACCACAACATTGCCCTCAGACATGACATCTCCACTGCCTCCAGCCTTCTCCTCGCTGCAACATTCATCACCCACCTTCACACACCATATAAGAGCGGTTGGTAAACAAATACTCTCATACATTCCCCTCTTTGCCCCCAAAGGGACAAAGTTCTTTGCCCTCCAAAAGACTCCTAATGCACCACTCACTCTTTTTCCCTCATCAATTCTATGATTCACCTATCTTTCATAACCCATCCGCTGACACGTCCACTCCCAAATATCTGAATACGTTCACCTCCTCCATACTCTCCTCCCCCAATCTGATATTCAATCTTTTATCACCTAATCTTTTTGTTATCCTCATAACCTTACTCTTTCCTGTATTCACCTTAATTTTCTTCTTTGCACACCCACCAAATTTATCCACCAATCTCTGCAACTTCTCTTTAGAATCTCCCAAGAGCACAGTGTCATCAGCAAAGAGCAGCTGTGACAACTCCCACTTTGTGTGTGATTCTTTATCTTTTAACTCCACCCTCTTGCCAAGACCCTCGCATTTACTTCTCTTACAACCCCATCTATAAATATATTAAACAACCACGGTGACATCACACATCCTTGTCTAAGGCCAAATTTTACTGGGAAAAAATTTCCCTCTTTCCTACATACTCTAACTTGAGCCTCACTATCCTCGTAAAAAAATCTCCTGCTTTCAGTAACCTACCTCCTACACCATACACTTGCAACATCTGCACATTGCCCCCCTATCCAAACCCCGTCATACGCCTTTTCCAAATCCATAAATGCCCACAAAGACCTCTTTAGCCTTATCTAAATACTGTTACATTATAGTTCACTGTAAACACCTGGTCCCACACACCCCCTACCTTTCCTAAAGCCTCCTTGTTCATCTGCTATCCTATTCTCCGTCTTACTCTTAATTCTTTCAATTAAAACTCTACCCTAACACTTTACCCGGTACACTCAACAGACTTTTCCCCCCATAATTTTTTTCACTCTCTTTTATCCCCTTTGCCCTTTTTACAAAAAGGGAAATATGCATGCTCTCTGCCAATCCCTAGGTACCTTACCCTCTTCCATACATTTATTAAACAATTGCACCAACCACCCAAAACTATATCCCCACCTGCTTTTAACATTTCTATCTTTATCCCATCAATCCCGGCTGCCTTACCCCCTTTCATTTTACCTACTGCCTCACGAACTTCCCCCACACTCACAACTGGCTCTTCCTCACTCCTACAAGATGTTATTCCTCCTTGCCCTATACACGAAATCACAGCTTCCCTATCTTCATCAACATTTAACAATTCCTCAAAATATTCCTTCCATCTTCCCAATACCTCTAACTCTCCATTTAATAACTCTCCTCTCCTATTTGTAAGTGTGAAATAAGTGGTTATTCCTTTATCAGAATCAGTTTTTGACATTAAAAGATTTAACATGCGCCATAAAAAATTCTAACAAGCCTTGAGGTTAAAAACAACAACTTTACATTGTTTATTACATAGTTTAATGAATTAATGCTTTGCCAGCGACACTATGTTTCTTATAATTTATTCGGTGAGTGTAATCTAAATTATAAAGTCGAAATGAATTCAACATATGCTAGCTTATGGTGCAAGTAAAGCCGGATTTGTAGCTGACTGTTGTATGAATTCAATTGAGCTTCGTTCATTTCCTATTTGATTTTATAGCAGTAGCAGTACAGTTGGTGCATATAACAACATATTGTGGAGAGCAAAGGGTATAAAATACCAACATGATGATTAAAGAAAAATGCAGCATAATTAATGATATTCATTAACTTGATAAAGCCCATGCATTGAACTTTTATCAAGTTACGGACTCTGTTTCTAACACAGTAAAGCCACTGCATAGCCAAAATATCAAGAAAAGGATCACTTTATACTTCACTTGAGCCTTCTACCAACAGTTTACTGTTTATTTTTCTATTTATAAAAATGGTATAAGTGGTACAGTATATGAATTAATGAAACTATGATTCAAGTTATAATGTCCACGCACTTTGAGAATATCCAGGAAATTAATTTTGGTGAATAGAGTTTCCTTCTTTGGGTCACTCTACCTTAATTGGAAATGGCTGAAGTGCAAAAAAAAACTTTTTTTCACTAACAGTTTTGAAAGTCTTGCACAGTAAGGCCAGACACAAGGCGACCATCAGTACACTCTGCCTGTTGAAGTAAACCACGAGCTGTGTGTGACACAACCCACGACATGTCACAGTCACATCCCAACTCATTACCTAGAAGAAAGGTACACTACAGTTACATTTCATACACAGACCGAATCTGGATTTTGAGACTGTTTCAGTGTAGTTGCAGTATCTAACTTTTGCAAAACTTTGAAGTGATTGTAATGTCTAGACTATTTTCCATACGTACGCTCTTCTTCCTTTTAATTTATCCTCCTTTGCGGCCACTCTACAAAAATCAAGTTATGTAACCTATATTTATCATCTTTATTTTTATACATTATTCTTTCATTTTTAGACAGTTTACCATACAATTGCTCTTAATAATTTTATGCATTTATTGCATTTATGGATTTAGAAAAGGCATATGATAGAGTGGATAGAGGAGCAATGTGGCAGATGTTGCAAGTTTATGGAATAGGTGGTAAGTTACTAAATGCTGTAAAGAGCTTTTATGAGGATAGGTCTTAGACAGGGATGTGTAATGTCACCATGGTTGTTTAATATATTTATAGATGGGGTTGTAAAAGAAGTAAATGCTAGGGTGTTTGGGAGAGGGGTGGGATTAAATTATGGGGAATCAAATTCAAAATGGGAATTGACACAGTTACTTTTTGCTGATGATACTGTGCTTATGGGAGATTCTAAAGAAAAATTGCAAAGGTCAGTGGATGAGTTTGAAATGTGTGTAAAGGTAGAGAAAGTTGAAAGTGAACATAGAAAAGAGTAAGGTGATGAGAAAGAGTAAGGTGATGAGGTATCAAATGATTAGATAAAGAAAAATTGGATATCAAATTGGGGAGGAGGAGTATGGAAGAAGTGAATGTTTTCAGATACTTGGGAGTTGACGTGTCGGCGGATGGATTTATGAAGGATGAGGTTAATCGTAGAATTGATGAGGGAAAAAAGGTGAGTGGTGCGTTGAGGTATATGTGGAGTTTAAAAACGTTATCTATGGAGGCAAAGAAGGAAATGTATGAAAGATTAGTAGTACCAACACTCTTATATAGATGTGAAAACTTGGTGGTAAATGCAGCAGCGAGGAGACGGTTAAGAGGCAGTGGATATGTCCTGTCTAAGGGAATGTGTGGTGTAAATATTATGCAGAAAATTCGGAGTGTGGAAATTAGGAGAAGGTGTGGAGTTAATAAAAGCATTAGTCAGAGGACAGAAGAGGGTTGTTGAGGTGGTTTGGTCATTTAGAGAGAATGGATCAAAGTAGAATGACATGGAAAGCATATAAATCTATAGGGGAAGGAAAGAGGGGTAGGGTCGTCCTCGAAAGGGTTGGAAAGAGGGGGTAAAGGAGGTTTTGTGGGCGAGGGGCTTGGACTTCCAGCAAGCGTGCATGAGCGTGTTAGATAGGAGTGAATGGAGACGAATGATACTTGGGACCTGACGATCTGTTGGAGTGTGAGCAGGGTAATATTTAGTGAAGGGATTCAGGGAAACCGGTTATTTTCATATAGTCGGACTTGAGTCCTGGAAATGGGAAGTACAATGCCTGCACTTTAAAGGAGGGGTTTGGGATATTGGCAGTTTGGAGGGATATGTTGTGTATCTTTATATGTATATGCTTCTAAACTGTTGTATTCTGAGCACCTCTGCAAAAGCAGTGATAATGTGTGAGTGTGGTGAAAATGTTGAATGATGATGAAAGTATTTTCTTTTTGGGGATTTTCTTTCTTTTTGGGGTCACCCTGCCTTGGTGGGAGACGACCGACTTGTTGAAAAAAAAAAAAAATTATGCAGTATACCATTTGCTTTTAACTTAAAATAGACAGTCATCTCATTTTCATTATATTCTTTAGAAAGGAGAGGGCTGAGTGGGATGACCAAGGAAGGAGGGGGTAGGGGTTATTCCAAGGGAAGCTAGTGAGAAGTGGTAAAGGAGGCTTTGAGTGATAGGGGCTTTGAACATTCAGTGGGCTCATATGAGTGTTTTAGATCAGAGTGGATATTTGATATGCTTTGGATTGTGAGTAAGGTAACATTTATCAAAGGATTATGGGAAACAACAGCTATATAGGGCAGCCTTTCCCCATAAAAACAGAGAAAACACTTTCACCATCATTCAGCCAATAATTGTCTTGCCAGAAATATGCAGACATCACACAAATGGAATTGGTTACAGAATTGTCCTTAACAGTTTCAATCACAGCAAAATATTACAAAGCATAGAAATTAAAGACTGAGTGGGACTTCCAAAATTATCATTCAGAAGGCTGAGAAGGAGCTATTGAGGTGGATAGGGCATTTAGAGAGGATGGAGCAGAATATGATGAACAAGAAGTATGAACCATCAGTGGAATTTTAAGGTAGTTTCGAGTGTTAGGGGCTTGAGCATCCAGAATGATTTTTAATGGGCATGCTGAAGTGTAAGCAAGGCAACATTTATGAAGGAATTCAGAGAAACTGGTAAGCCAGACATGGAGCCTGATCGTAAGTAGGGCAGTGTCTGCACTCTGAGGGTAGGGTGAGGATGTTGTTGCAGTCGAAAGGTAATCTGAATTGTGATGTCAGCACACTTTTAACAAGACAGTGACTGAATGAATGATGGTGACTGTGTTACTTTTTTGGGTAAGCCTGCCTTGGCTGGAGATGGCCATTGAGGTAAAAAAGAAAAGAAAAAATAAGACTGTGTGTGCATGTGCATACATCTTGTATTGAGAATTATTTCATTAGATTCTTTCGTTCCACCATTTCTTCCATTGTGTCTTATGCCATTTCTTTCTTTAACCCATGATGTGTGTGTTGTGGACATCTTGGTGATGAGTATTTAGAGGGTGAGGTACTTGCCTAATGTATTATTGATGGTTTCAATGTTTAGTATAAAGTACTATCCAATTTTTTTTTTTTTTTTTTTAATTTTTATAGCATACGTCCTCTCCTCACTTAGTGACATACTCATTTACCAATGCCTCAGACTTACGATGGGCTATCTGACCAGTATTCATACCTAAATAATGTATATATTAGAGCTGATTTCCTCTATTCTTTTTATTTTGATATACAGTACACTACTGTATAAACATTTAAAAATATACCAGAAATGTTGTAAATGGTGCAAAGGTGACATTAAAACAATATCTAAGATGGTTGACACAAACTCACTGCCATTATAGTATGCTCCTCACCTAGCGACGAATTTGTTTAACGACGTGGTCTCAGGAACGGAACTCCGTCGTTAAGTGAGGAGAGGCTGTACTTACCTGAACTCTTGATACTCACTATCTAAAAGTATGTAAGCATCTGAGCCATACTCTAAAAACATCTGATCAAGGATGGCCGCAAATGTGTCTTGGTTGAGGGTTGTAATGTTATTGTGGCTTAAGATCAGCTCCTTGGCCATTCTTCCTGAAAAATAATTTTTGTGTGTACATTAGTGGCACAGACTTCCTCTTATAAGAAATAATATACCATATAGTCCATATTCATTACATTTTAGGATTAAATAGAATAAAATTACATAGGAAATACAGTGGACCCTCCGTTTTCGTTTATCTCCTTTATTGCCAATTTCGGTTTTGGCCAAATTTTTCATCAATTTTTTATTTCCGTTTTCGTCAATTGTACGGAACCTGTCCAGTGCCCAGCATGCAGACAAAACTGCCTCCCACACGCATTCTCAGCCAGTGTGTGAACATATCCTGCCAGGTCATGCGAAACATTTCGTAATAGTCCATTGTTTTTGCCACTTGTTTATTGTGTGTGACTGCTAAATAAGTGACCATGGCCCCAAAGAGAGCTCCTAGTGCCACTGCTTTGGTAAAGAATGTGAAAAACATAACATCCAGTGCATAGGCCTTATCTATAAGGCTTGGCAGGGAGTGAATTCCAAGACGATGAACTCTGCTTGGGAAAAATTGTGGCCAGATTGTTTCTGAAAGAAGGATTTTGAAGGGTTTGAGGCTGACCCTGTTGACTCTACACCTGTTGTGCAATCAACTGTGGAATTGGGAAGTTCCATGGGGTTGGATGTGAATGGCCAGGATATGGAAGAGTTGGTGGATGACCACAATCAAGAGCTAACCATTGATAAACTGAAAGAGCTTCATCTGCAACAACAGCAGACTACAGCACAGGAAATTGATGCAGAGGAGGAGGAAGAGAGATGGAAGCAGGTGCCATCTTCAGAGATTCAGGAGATTTGTGCATTGTGGACTAGGGTGCAGTCATTTGTGTAGCAACATCACCCTGAGAAAGCGTTGCAATCCGTGCTGGCGACTTTTACAATGACAATACCATGTCCCATTTTAGGGAAATTTTAAAGAGACACCAGAAACAGACATATCTGGACAGATTTTTTGTGCGACAGGGATCCAGTGACTCTCAAGCTGGTCCTAGTGGCATTAAAAAACAAAGGAGGGAAGTGACCCCGGATAAGGACTTGGTACCTACAGTCCTTATGGAGGGGGATTCCCCTTCCAAGGAATAACTTCTCTTCCCTCTCCCCTCCTCCCTCTCTTCCTTCCAGCAACAACAGCCTTCAATGAAGGTAAGTGTCATGTGTAATGTTCATTCTTTTGTGCATGTAAATCTATCTTTTAAGTTAAAAAAAAATTTTTTGTTGATACTTCTGGGTGTCTGGAATGGATTAATTCCATTCACATTATTTCTTATGGGGAAAATGGTTTCGGTTTTGGCCAATATCAGTTTTGGCCGATGGCTCTGGAACCGGATTAACGCTTTGAGGGTCGGCAGGCCCTCTCAGAGACTTGTTCTCAGGGTCGCCCAAATTTAAAAAAAAAAAAAATGATTTTTTCTTATGAAAAATAGTTTTTTTTTTTCCTAAACATAATAGGCTAAACAAAAAAATTTTACCATCAATACTTATCGAGATATGGAGGCTTGAAGTTGACAGAAAATGCCCCATGTATGGTATCATCGCCGACTGCTGTCACCCGGAATTGTGTGTTTTTGTTTTTTAGGTGCTATTTTCTATTTTAATTTTTTTTACAAGTTACTTTTATGGCCTGAGACCAATATTAGCACTATTTTATAATTTTTTTCTCTTTATTTACTACACAATAACTGCACAAACACTGTTGTCCTTACATTGTTTATAATTGTTGTTTTCACACACAAACGATATAAAATGTTGTTTATTACTATTTTTCTATATTTTATATACACATATACAATTACAGAGAATGTTTCTAGAAGTTCTGCAGCCTGTGGAAGTCTTTGAAACATGGTATCATGCACAGTGGTGTTTTACACTCCTCACACATAAAACGAGTGTGTCTGCGTTGTTGTGGGCATTTTTTTTGTATGTGCACAGACGTAACACCTCTTCTGAGCCTTTTTCTTGAAAGCAGTAGCAGGCAGTTTTACTAGGAAGTGATCACCATGCTTCAGACGAGAAGGTAGTTGTTGATAATTTAGTGGGTGGTCTATTGCAGGTGTTGTTCCTTGGTACTTGAATACTATTTGTCTGATGACAGACAAACAGAATTTGCCATATGATGGTTTGTTTCTGGTCCTCATCTTGTACATATTATAAGCATTGAGCATGGAAATGTCCAGAAGATGGAAAAAGAGTTTTATGTACCACTTTTACCTCATGCGAACACAATCAGCAAACCCAATCTGCATATCACATTTGTCCACTGAGCGCATATTGAGGGTGTAATCAATCACAGCTGTAGGTTTTAGAATGGGTTTATTGCTTTCTCTATGCTGCCTGCCAGTGTCTGCCATTTCATTAGGGTGAACTTATGACAACAGTGTGACATCTCATGCCACTGAAATGCCATGATGTCATTGGCAGCAAATGCCTGCACCTCACCTCTGCAAGTGCCAGCGTCAAACCTGGGCATGTGCTTACAATTTGCATGCACTGTGCCACACACATCTGTAATGTTCACTCGCAAAAAATCACTGAGTGAGGGGTTTGTGTACGAGTTCTTCTTTCTTTCAACACACCAGCCGTATCCCACCGAGGCGAGGTGGCCCAAAGGGAAAAACAAAAGTTTCTCCTTTTACATTTAGTAATGTATACAGGGGAAGAGGTTACTAGCCCCTTGCTCCTGGCATTTTAGTCGCCTCTTACAACACGCATGGCTTACGGAGGAAGAATTTGTGTACCAGTTATCAGTATATATATATATATGCCCCTTAACAAGGTATGGTTCCATCATTATTCTAACCACATCACCAGAGATGCCCAATAACTTCCTGGTATTTTGCAATGTATAACTTCCAGTGTACACAGTAATATCCAATACCAGACCACTGTAACAAGCACAAACAACTTCATACCGAAGCATTTCTTCTTGCTTGGTATGTACTGCTTGAAAGAGAATCTTCCTTTGAACAGAATCAAAGACTCGTCAATTACAAGCTTCCTAAAGGGATAAAAATACATATTGAATTTCTCTTTCAGATACACAAACACATTCCTAATCTTATATAACCTGCCGTTTCTGTCAGGCCTGGTTTTGTCTGAGAAGTGAAGCATACGTAACAGTAACACAAATCGATTCACTCCCATTATATCACTGAAACCTGGGGTTGCAATCAGGCGGTCTGTTGACCAGTCTGATTTCACTCTGTGCTTATACACGTGTGGCATAAGCATTATTGTGGCAAAGAAAAGATACATCTCAGCCACAGTTGTCTCCTTCCACTGGTGTAGACGTGATTTTGGTGAAAGTAATGTGTTTTCCATGGTGTACTCGTAGTATCTGTTGCTTTCCCTGACAATAATTTCCATCAGGTTCGTCAAAGAATAACTCGAAACATTCCAGTTCAGTGGCATTGTTCCCCAGTGTACAACATGGCTGTATTCCACTTTGGCTTTCATCAAACTGGTGGGGATTTGGAACAAAATTGGCAGCTTCCTGCCAGTCCCAGGTGCGGTCTGCTGGTGGGTACTGGACATTGACAGGTGGTTGTGGCTGTGGTTGTGGAGGCTGGTGTGGTGGGTGGGTGGGGGATGGTGGCTTTTGTTGTAGACCAGCTGAAGCAGCGGTGTGGGTGGCAGCATGGCCTACTGCTGGTGCCTCAGAGCCGGCACCACCACTACCACCACCCTTCACATTTTCCATCCCAATTGCAACACTATTATCGTCATTTTCACTGTCTTTTCCTGTTGTACAGCCACAGGATGTACTCCGAGATGTACTCCTTCCCCTTGGAATAGTATGGCACACTACCAGAGTGCATATATCGTCGTATATGCTGATGCTTCACTGGAGAATATTCCACTTCACTATCACTACAGGAACTGGTTTCAAGAGCTTGTAGTTCATATTCACTATCACTATCATCACCAATGCACACATCTGAGTCCAGGATTTGGGAAAATAGGAGTTTCCTCTTTGATTCTGGTACAACTGAACGTGAACAAGACGGCCCAGCAGCAGAGGTGGAAGGCTGAGGGTCGTCTGGGTTTTCCTCACTATTACTGATATTATGGTCATTAGTTTCGGTCACAACCTCACCAAAACCTTGAAACTCATCTTCACTGGCACTTCCATCTGTATTAGAACTGTCACTGGGAGACAAAACTGTCCCAATTCGCCGAGGAGTGAGGAGCTTCTTACCGCAAGGCATGGTGAACAAGGTCTACTAAAATGGCGTTCCCACAATTCGCCACTAGGTCCCAGTTTTTTTTTTCTACCGCGCACACTGACCATACACCCATTCTCTGACATCTAGGCCTACCAGCCTTTTCCCGCGAGATTTGAAGGTGCTAGAATTTATGCGTACTAATCCATCAAAAGCATTGGTGCGTAAGCCGTACTAGTACGGCCGAAACCTCAAAAGGGTTAAACACGAAAACCAAGGGTCCACTGTATTTGCTACAGTGGGTTTCAAAGCTAATTAATAAATAATCTGCTATTTATGCATAATATTAAATTCATTATACAGATACTCTATACAGTGGACCCCCGCATAACGATATTAATCCGTTCCTGAGAGCTCATTGTTGTGCGAAATTATCGTTATGCAAATGAATTTTCCCCATAAGAAATAATAGAAATCAAATTAATCCATGCAAGACACCCAAATGTATGAAAAAAAGAATTTTACCACATGAAATATACATTTTCCTACACACAAAGAGAAGGATACATGCACAATAGTAGAGTAGTATATGCACAATATATATTGTGCATGTACTACTCTACTAAATGAAGAATAAATGACACTTACCTTTATTGAAGATGCAGCAATGACTGATGAGACACTGTGTCCTGGGAGTGCCTTTTCCTCCTGAGTACTGTAGGTCCTGTTTGGCATTTTCTTCCAGAACAGGCCTTATCACACTGTGTATGCCACTATGATTCTTAAATCTCTCAAACCAACCTTTGCTGGCTTTAAATTCACCAATATGAGCACTAGTTCCA